GGGTCACCCTCTCTGATGGAAGGGGAAAGACAGAGCAAGCATTGCCATGAGTGGAAATGGGAAAAGATAAATAATTCATTTCCTGAAACTTGGAAACTGTTCCCATCCCTTGGCCACCTGCTGAAGGGATTTCCATTTTGAAAAACCAGTGTTGATGCAGGGACTCTCTTTAGGGATGAATGAAACAGTGACAAGGGCCCTGACTGGGAAAAAGAGATGTTTAATCCCAGCACTTCCTCCCAGCAGCATCATTCTTCCAGCACCTTTCTCCTCCTTCAGCAGTACCTGAATTGTACCCAAATCCTTGCTTTGTTTTGCTAGTAGAAATTGCACAAACATTTAAGGCATTTTCTTTTCTCCATCTCCAGCTTGAGGTGGGGGGGGAAAAATGAGTAAATGTTTACAGCTCCTCCAGCCAAAGCAGAGTGAAAACCCAAAGGTGATCTTCTCTCCTGCTCTATCTATACCAAGAATACAAACAGAGGGAGGTTTTCATCCCTGTGGAAAGTCTCAAATTATTCCTAATGTCTTAATTATTTTTTTAGAGCAAGAAAAAACTCACTATTTTAAGGCATCACTAGAGGTATGAATTTGACAAGCCTTTATCCAAATGAATGTTTAAATTTTGAAAGGAAAAGAAATAATCCAGCATGACTGACAAGGTCCTTTTAAAACACATAATAGGCTGAACTTTACATGTGTCTGTAGGTGTTAGCCTACAAAGCTATCTTTACATGCAATGTAGCAAATGAACTGTGTAAGGCAAGGGCTGTAGCGATATGCATCCTTCCTGAGTAGTACTATGAGACTGTAAAACTTGACAAACTTGTTCTCTTAAAGCTCCATGTCCTCAGGGAAGAGGCTGGTGTATTCTTGTTCTTCAAACACATGAAAAGTTTGCTTTAGATTAACTATTGCCATTTGTACTCTATGTTGCAAGGAACAGAGCTTGATCTTTAAAAAACCCACTAATTACATGCAGATGACCCCTAAAGAAGTGAGGGATTCAGAGGGATGCTACAGGGGGAGCTGGTAGAGCTCTACAGCTCTAGCTCTCCCTGGAGCCAATCGTTCTTCCTCCACTCAGGAAACATTTGTCTGCTCTTTCCTTTCAAAGGCTAGGAGGAGGGTGGGGATCATGTAGCCAGCCCCAATCCACCCTGCTGGTAGAGAAAAGTGATGGGATTTTGATGGCTCTTAGGACAGGAGCGACGAGTGCAGCAGCAGCGGGGGCTACTTCACAGTGCAAGCATCATTTAAGTCTGGAGACTTGAGGAAAATGGGACACTTGCTTTCATTGCTCTGGAAGAGCAAAACTGTAAAATGCTGCAAGTAAAGCTCTGACCGAAACAAAGGGTTTACTTTTTTCAATGAGAAAATTAGCTTATGGCTCCTGTCCCTTCCCTTATGGTGGTCTGTGCGCTGATGGGTAACCCCACCATTTTATTCTCTGGATTCAGCCACCAAACAGCCACCTCTAACCTCTCCTTTTTTAGGAGGTCTTGCCTCCATGGGAGATGCATGGACCACAGCTTAAGAGCTGACAGCTCATCGCACATGATAGAGATAAGTGAGGCAAATTGGTCTGGGCACCTCAGTGTCCACCCCTTGTACAGGAAGGACTTCCAGCAATCTCAGGGCCAGCCTCCTGCCCAGTACAGTGCCATCTGCAGCTACATCACTCTTCCTTCAAGTGTCCCAGTGGTGGAGACCCTATCCATTTCCATGCTATTCCTACTGCATCCCATCTAGCCCACTACTATGTAAGCTCATGTGCAGAACAGCTTATCCCCATCCTCTAATTGCTCTCTCTTTAAATTGTTTGAACAACTTTATCAGGTGTCTTTCCCTAGCTTTCCATTTGTCTTTTCTTCTCTCTTCACTTTTTCTGGATCTCTGGGTCATCCTCACCCTTCCTGTGGGGTCTCTTGTCAGTTGTTCAAGTCTTCCTACAGGAGCAGTGCTAAAAACCCACCAACACCCTTTGGCTGAGGCCATCATCATGCAGAGGAGAGCAGATGAGTCTGGCCATTTTTTCTAATCCATAAGGAAGAAACTCTGCGTGCCTCTCACAGCCCCTGCAATGGCCTTGCCAAGAGTAGCTATTTTCATTTAATTTTCCATTCCTTGAAATTCATGCTTGTTTGTTTTTAATTTCAGGATGGCTACCAAGCTCTTTCAGCACTGAATTAGAGAAACAGGATACAGTAGCAGCTAGACTCACCTATTAATCAAATTAATGTTCCTTGGTGAACCAATTCAGAATACCATGGTGCTGGCTCTTGTGATTTCATAACATCTCATGACATTCAATATTTTTGTTTAAAACCTACTTTCCACATTCATGTGATAATGGGAGAAGCTGAGGTTTCACTTAGGAAGAATTACCAATAAAGCATCTAAAACACCTGGCTGTAGAGAGTAATTGGCAAATGGGACCAAAGTGCATCCTAAAGTCTCAGAAAACCAGAAGACAGATAAAAAGCACCTGCAAACAACTGCTGCTGGCTGAGCTTGCTGGCAAGATACTTGCACAAAATGTGCTTGTCTGGCTGCTCCAGCGGACAGGAGCTATTGAGTGCTGATCTTCAGTTCTCCAAAGTGATGTTTTCTGGGTGGCCCTTTGTGGGAAGCTGGGAGTGGTACAAAGTGGGGCAAGAAATTATCACCTACAAAAGCCATGGAGTGAAAAACCCTGCCAGAACCAGCTATAGTGAAAGTGCCCCCTGCTAGAAGGCTTTGGGGTGCTCTGTGTTTTACCAGACACTTTGACTCCACATACCTGTGTGGATTTTCCCAGCAAAACACAGCATGCCCTCTTCCCTTTGGACATGCAGCAGTCAGGAGGTACCAGAAGGTGTCAGAACAGCCCAGACTTAAGGGGCACAGAGGTACCTGCAATGTTTGGGAGCACAAAGGCACTTCAGAGTCTCTGTCTCCGTGCCATTTCCCCTGTGCATCAGCCATGTTGGAGTAAGAGGGTGGCTGAATGCTCACGAGGGTATGGAGTGAATATGCACCCAATGCATCACTCATGGAAGGGAGCCAGTTTTTACCAGTTTTCCACTTTCCATGATGAGGACCTGTTTCAGCCAACACTGGAAGAGTGCTTTCTCTCCAGGGGAGAATTGTGTGAAAAATACAATTTAATGCCAGTGGTGGCTGTCATTTCTTCCCAAGGGGCTGTGTGGGTCAGGGAGCAGCAGTACAAGCACTACGGACATGTGCAAAGGAGCTGGCTGAAGATGACACAGAGAAGCAGTGAATTATGCTAGGTGAAACTGGGACTCATTTGCCATGCCCACATGTAACTTCCATCCCCCCAAAAATGATGGTGTTAATATATGACCCTAGACAAAATCTGGCAGAAAATAATTGTGAAAACTTCACAATATGTAGGATGTGTGTCAGCAAGAGAATCACACCATAAACAGCTGGACATAAAGGCAGCTGCAAACTATCTGCAAATAAAGGAAGTGATGAGGCTGACTGCAGGACTGGTGGAAGACTTCTCTGGCCATCCTTGTCCTGCTGCAGAAATGGTGTGGGTTGTTACCAGGAACCAGTGTGCAAAGGCTCACACGAAATCCACCATCAGAAATAACTTAAACATAGAGAGGAAAAAATTGCTCGTTGGGAAGGATTAGGTTTTAAATAATTGTCATTTATAAATTAATTTCACATGATTTTGGAGCTTGTCCTACTAGCATTTCAAGGTTTGACTGGAGCTGGCAGAGAGGATGGGCACTGGTTCCGGGACCTGACTGCCAAGAAAAGGGAAAATATTAAGAGGAATGACTGGCAATGAAGAAATAAAAGGCCAGGGAAATATAGGGAAATGAGATTTAGTTTAGGAAAATTATTGTTCTCTCAGCCATGGACTGATTTTATGGCTGGCATATTAGTCACAATCTTATATGAGCCTGGACTTTGTAAACTGGTGGTGAACACAGCTCCCAGCACTTTGACAATTTTTGACTCCATGATTCTGTTATTTTTAATCCTTTTTTTTTTTCAATTTAAATTCACATCAAAGTCTATTGAAAGCAGTGGGGAGACTCCTCTCAGCTTCAAAAATTTTGAATTAAGTCATGTAAAAATAGACACCACCTGCCTCAAGACTTCTGCTGCAGTCTTGCCAACTGAGTCCAAGCAGCAAAGTAAGACCATGACTCCTCTGTTTCATATACCCAACATTTTGAGTTCTCAGGGCACAGCTGCAACCTGTGTGACACCTCTCAGTGCTTCTGCCCAATGCTGGATTAGAGCTGAGAGATCTGGGCTTGCTCTTGCCATCTAAGGTGCTGAGCACCTGCATCCTCTCTGCATTTCTCTAGGCTGCTCTGATAGCAGAGAGATGCTCTAGTGCCCAGGAGACATTTTCAACAGAACAGTACAGTAAATGAATGGCTTATTTCCAAAAGGAAAATGTGCATGGTGGAAAGGAAAATGCCCAGGACATGTGGGAAAGCAGTGAAACCAGAGTGGAGCCCTGTTGCAAGGGCTGCTCCACCATGCACCTTGCAAAGTCAAGCCATTGCTAAACCAGAGATCACTGAATCAGAGGCGAGCCTCAGTCTTGGAGCAGCTGCAAAAACGTCTCTGCAAGCACATGGCTTGTAAATCCATTCCACCTCTGCTGGGGCATGAGTGGAACAGGCCAGTTCTTCATCTTAGTGTTTTTGGGGCATTTTGTAGTGTGCATTTTTAGTTAACAACTGCATGAAGAAGGCTGCCCTCTGGCACTGAAAGAGTGCTGTCAGCTCTCAGGCCATGGTGGGCAACGCCACACCACTGACCCTAGTGAGAGGGGTGGTGAAACAGGAGCTCCTCCAGCCCCACACAAGGCAGCCAGCAGCCGCCACCATGGGAGGACTCTCTGGAGAGGAAGGGAGCCAGGGCTATCACCCAGTTCGCAGGTAAAATCACAGCCCGTGACTGGAGATGCAGACAGATTCAAGAAAAACTGTTGAAAACAGATTGTTAGACAGCCTTATGGATCTCTGCAAAGGACATGTTTTTCTTACTGGAAGAGAGCCATGATGTAGAAATAGATTGTATCAAGAAAGAGAGCTGCAGCCATAGCTTAGGCTGTATATTTAAACATTTTTGCTGTCAGACCATCTGGGCCTGGAGCTAAATTTACCTACAAATTATTTTCAATGTTTCTACTTCTTGAGAGGTGAAAGGTGCACTTGATACTTTATGCCAGAAGGAAAGGCAAAATAAATGTCCTGGGTCAGATTTTCTCAGCATCAGTATGTGGTTTTGGGTGCCCAGTGTCTGCAATACCTGCCTTGAGCCCCAGGCTGGGTGCTTTGTGTGCAGAGCCCCTCCACAGTCAACAGAAAATCTTGACTTACATTCCTGCTCCGGTAACTCCACACAACAATTAGCAAAGCAAATCCATTCACATCTTTTTTCTGCTTTTATGCTGTTACCAATTTCTTTTTCGAATCATAGCCAGGGTCTTTCCATGATGAAAATATGTGGGATCCAGAAAGTCTAGTTTCTGACTCAGCTCAGTCATATTTTCTTGGTGACTCCTGCGCACCTGGATCGCAGAAGAAAGCCCCACACCCAAGTGAGGTCTAACAGTCCCCTAAACATCAGGAAAGGTTTGGTGTGATCTTCTGACATCCCACAAAGATAACATGGGACATGGACAGGGACTGACAGATGATGGATGAGAGTTGTGGTCTGCACTCCACAAATTTTGCAACCTTTCCCAACAAAATGAGGCATGTGCACCTAGCCCTGTGCTGGCCACTGCTATGAAAAAAGAGTCCATCACCCCAAATACTACGTGCCTGAGTCACTCCTTCGGGGACTACCTGATTCCTCCTTTGAAAGGCAAATGGATGAGGTTGGCTGCATCTCTTGCTGGCCAGGACTTTGACCTCCCCAGCTCTTGGGGGGTGCCCCAGCACCTACAGTGGAGTATTAAGCATTCAGAAAATCTCACTGGGCTCAGGATAGACTCACCTTTCATCCTCTGCCTGTGTATTTTCTCCTCTTAAGGTAATTTTCCTATTTGAACGGGTTTGTGCAAATGGTTCCTCCAGTTTTCTCTAGGGAGAAAAATGTGAAGTATCTGCTGGACAATCACATCCCAGAGTTGTTTCTGGGTTGTTTTTTTCCTGATCTTAAACCAAAAATGTTTATTAGTCTCCAATTACTGAATTTACTGCCGATCAGCTTGGGAAAGACTAGAAGTAATTATATTTGGGGATTAGAGAAATTATGTTTCAAGAGACATGGGACCTTACAGCTTTTTAATGCTGCTGGTTGCATCTTCCTGTTCTGTGTGCCATAAAACTAAAAAAATTTAAATATTTTATAAAAGTGATCTGTGATGGGTGATGGTATAGAACTGATCCGGTACTTCAGTTTATCTATGGCATTAAAAATCCCCACAAGGAAAGTCTTAAATGCTTCCATCCATCCTACATTATGTATATATCATCTCAATCAGAAAGACTTTCTTCGTAATAAAGCTCCTCTATCTAGTTAGTTGAGACCATGGTGCCTTCAGAAGGTTTCTTTTTAATAAATAGCATGGAAAAGTCTTCAAGGCCAAAATATGTGCATGAGTTTTATTAATCCTGTAGCCTCTGTCACTCACAATAATGCTAATAATCCTTAAACCTTACATCATGTTTAACATCCCATGTAACAAACGCATCTCTGGGAGATGAACAATAAATCCCATGTGCACTATGCTTCCTTCTCCTGTGCCTTCATAAGGAAGTCCCAGATTTGGTGTAGCTCCTTCCTGCTATGCTGGTTCCATCTTGCTTCCCACACTGGCAAGGGGCTGACACTGCCCCAGTCCTTCCCAGGGGACTCTTCCAAAGCCATCAGTATTTGTCACTGTATTTGCAGTCAGGATAGCGGTAGGCAAAACGGGAATCACAAGACCGCAGAGGTTTCAGGAGCTCTGCCAGCTTTGCAACCGCCCCACTGACACCCTGGTCATCGGCGAGGCCATCGGCACAGTGCTGCAGGAAGCTGTCTATCTTCTCCTGCACGGGTTGCAGGAATTTCCCCTTCAGGAGCTTAGGCAAAAGCTCTTGACACACCATGACAAGGCTGTGCTTCTCTCCAATGGAGTTACAGGACACAAATGCAGACTGGCAGTCCAAAGTCAAACAGCTAAATATATCTTTATATTCTTGTTGGTCATCAATCAGCTGGCTCCCTATTAGAGACAATTAAAGCAGCTGTTAGAAACACAGCAGTGAAATCTTGGATAATCACATATGTCTATACCTCTGTATTAACATGGGGTTAGTTATTATCTGTAGGATAGAGCTATCTTTCACCACGCAGTACTGTGAGCTATAGCTCTACGTGGGCCAATTTCCTCACTCCTGAAATATGTTATGTTTTTTGAATGACAGAGCACTGCAGAACTGCCTGACAGAAGATTTGGAGTCTGTCAAGTCAAACTGATGCAGAAAAAATGAGAACTGGAGTACTAACCTAAAAAGTGGAGTTCCTACAAAAATCACCACAGATAGCCAAACCCATAATTTTTCCATGTTACCCAAAATCATTAAATTGCAACAACAGCTCATCTAGCTGGAGTTAAGTTAACAGTAATAGCTGCTGGGATGAGAAAAAGAAACCCAGTGGAAAATTCTCTGATGGCTACTTCTGAATATTTGAGATCTGCTCAGGTGAATGTGCAAGTTGGGCAAAGGCCTTTTCAAAATTTGAACATTCAGAATGAATTATTGGAGGAATAGTCTGACTAGCTCTACTTTCAGGAGTAGACAAATGTAACCTGTGAAAAGTGAATAGCGACCCTTGATTTTGTATAAAAATGACAAAGGGGGGATTTTACTGTTATTATTATTCGTAGTTAATGTGATAAATACACCTAAAAAGAGTTTTATGGGCTTGTTCAGCCTGGATTAGAGAAGGCTCCAGAGAGACCTTATAACTGTCTTCCAGTACCTAAAAGGGCCCTGCAAGAAATCTGGAGAGGGACTTTTTACAAGGGCATGTAGCAACAGGACAAGGGGGAATGGCTTTAAGATGAAAGAGGGTACATTTAGATTAGATATTAGAAAAAATTCTTTACTGTGAGGGTGGTGAGGCTCTGGCACAGGTTTCCCAGAGAAGCTGTGGCTGCCCCATCCCTGGCAGTGTTCAAGGCCAGGTTGGATAGGGCTTTGAGCAACCTGGTCTAGTGGAAGATGTCCCTGCCCATGGCAGGGGGGTTGGTACTAAATGATCTTTAAGGTCCCTTCCAACCTGAACCATTCCATGATTTGACCCAATACTTAAAACAAAAGAAGTTATGAAATTTCTAATTGCAAATACTGACATCTGTGTGGCAAAAGTTTTAGAAGAAGTGATTTAGGAGGACTTCGAATGAGAGCCTTGAGCAGTGTACACACTGAATGCTGATGCCAGCGCAGAGATAGCAGGCCAGGACGAAAGAGCCCATGGCTGGTCACCAAACCACTGACTGCACAAATAAATTGCCTGCAGCCTTCCTGATCCAGAGCCAGGATGGCAGTAGCTGCTGATGCTTGTGCTGTCAGAAAATCTCCCATGAACTCTTCATTATTTAATTTAGCAAGTGATGTTTGGCTGATTACAAAAAAACCAAACCAATCAGCATCAGAGCTGAGCTCAGCAGGTGAAAGATTTGTTTCCCCTGCCTCGCTAAGACCTCCAGCGACAGACGGAGCCTGCTGAGTACCTTCCTCCTTGTCGATGATCCCCAGTGTGCTGGCATCCCGGATGAACAGATGCCCATTGCTAAACACGCCGAAGGTGCCAGCGTCCACGTGGGTGAAGTAGAAGAAATAGTTGAGGTCGTTGGTGCCCATGGAGCGGAGGACAGCAAGGAGCTGGAGGGCCAGGTCAGCAGCCACCTCAGGGGCTGCACCAAAGAAATCGCGCAGGGGCCGGGTGCTGGCACTGACCACCAGCCGCCCGCAGGAACCCAGGTACCGTGGGAAGGGCCATCCCTCCACATCAGGGAAGATCTGCCAGGAAGAGCAGGAACATGAGAATTGCCCCTCTGGTCTCTGCACAATGCCCATGGACCCATGTCCTTCCCAGAGGACTTTCAAGTGCCTTTCAAGCAGCAGTGCCAATGTCATGGTTTGCTTTCTAAATCAGCCCACAACCCTTGCTCACCTCAGCCTGCCCCAGCAGCCCAAGAATGCACTGCTCCATCCTGGAGTAGCTATGCTGCTTTTTTTCTTCTTTTTTTCCCTTTTAATTCAGGAAGAAGAACTGATATTTCAAGTCTTATTTCATGAGGGAGATTAACCAAAAGTCCAAGATAATAATAGATCTCAAATTAAATGAAATTTTAGCCACAGAAGAGCTAATTTTAGGTGTCTTTATGGAGCCTTTGATGGGTTCCTCATGAGCACTGCACAGCTGAAGTCACAGCCTAGAGGTGAGATGGGGCTAAAGCAGTTTTTGCTAATTTGTAAAAACTGCCTGGCTGTTTTGTATGAGACTTTGTAGTCCCAGGGACCCAAGCGCTGGGTGTTTGCTACGGTGGTGACACCTGGGCCGGGCTTCCTGCATCACTGCAGCTTGTGGTATCAGTGCAGTTATCCCAGGTAGAAACCAAACTGCATGACTACTGAGCCATGCCAACACAAAGCTTTCTGCTTTTAACTTTTCTGTCTCCCCAGCTTCCCAGAACCATTCCCTCTCCCTAGGACTGGGCAAAGCCATGTGCACTGCTTTGGGAAGCACTGGCCTTTGGCAGGAGATTGATGCTACTGCTGCCTCTTTTTTTAGAGGAATCTCAAAGGGTTGCAAGAAACATCAATGAGGGCTAAAGGTGGGGTGGTAGTGAGAAAAAGTGAGGATACTCTCTTGGAGATACACGTAAGGAAAGAGAGGAGCCACATGCCAGGCATGCTTGCAGTGGACCAGGCAAGAGGCGTGAGGCCTCCTAGCTATCTACCTTAAAATTCAGAGCTCAGTTGTATTTGGGATTCCACCAAGCAACTCTGCAAAGATGTGCTTTGCTATGGAGCTAGTTACCAGCAGCATTCGAATGGAAAAAACAGCACTGGCACATGGAGCCTGGAAAATCAGTGCTTCCCAAGTCAATGTTCAACCTCAATGCTGCATCTTGGTTCTCCCACACTAAAGCATTCTCTTTCTGTTTTATAAACAGGCTGTGATTTAAATAATACATTAGCAATGCAAACATAACACTTTGAAGTGTCAGGGACATGTAAAACCCTGGCTTTCACAATGCGCTAGTGCTACAACCTGTCTAGGTTCTGATCTATTTAAGGGGCTGGACATTCATATTTCTCCACTACTTCACTGGGTTATGCAAGGTGCACCACAGGAGTCTGTCTGGCTTCAGCCATCAAACCCCATAGGAGAATCATGCTTTATGAAGGCTAGAAAGCTTGCCAAAGGCCAGCGCTGGCACTTCTCTGCAGCTGGGTCCTGGAGCACACCTCACACGATAGTTTGCTTGCACGGGGTTGCAGGGTGGTGTTTCAAGACAGTCAAGGTGGCACATACCTGTAACAAGATGGGGTGTGAATTCACTGACAGTGTGTACAACAGGCGCAGCTTGTCCCCGTCAGTGAGGTGGTCCATGTAGATGCTGCCAGCGTCTGGCACCTCAGCATAACGCCGCACTATCCTGTCCAGGAGACGCTGGGATGGGCAGCGCAGCATTGGGCTAGACAGGCCCTGGTGAGAGGCAAAAACATGACAAAGATGTTTATGTTCTAGCTTGAGATGCCACAATATGACAGCCCCCGGTCCACGTTGTAGGTACTCTCCCCTCTGCACTTCTTCCCAGCCCTGGCATCCTGGTTTGCTGGTGGAGGTGTGTCTGTGATTAAGCTGGTGAGTCACTTCCCTTGTTAAATAACGTCTTCAGATCTCTTCACTATTTGATTAACCTGTGGGCAGTTTTCTTGGAAATACTATTTGCTAAAGTCAGTAAACATGCTTTAAAAGAGTAAATAAACACCGTATGTGGGTACAAGCACAGGACATATTCTCTCTCTGATAAACTTGTGCATTAACTATTAAAATCAAATGTGAATAGCCTGTGCATGTATTTTTTAAATGCCAGCAACAAATGAAGAATTGTTGGGTGAACGGAATCAACCATCATTCTATTTTACCTTTCAGATTTGGAGGTTCGGCTTGTAAATTGCACAAGCAATCTAAGGCTGGAGTAAATGGCAATAGAGATTTATATCTTCATAGTCAAAACAATTTTTTTTTTTCTGAGGTCAGTCTTCCTTAATAGCCAAGGAGAGCAGACGTAAGGAGTGGCACAGAAATGCTGCCCAGCCATGCTTTTGCTGGGGAAGGGAATCAGGTTTTTGCTGAGCCTTTTTCTTCCAAATGATCCCAGCAGCCAAATTTACTCATTCTGATTTTCTTTATAATTTGATGTCTGGGAGATGTGCTTCAGAGGAAAGGGCACTGGAGCTCACAATGCTCCCTGCCATTCTTCATGCTGAGAGCAAAGATTTCACTCAGGATCTCCCCAAGTCATTTGGTAACTCTGAGGTAGGTCTCTCTCAGCCCTTCCTGTGCGAGCTGTTCATTTGGCATAAAACACTTACTTATCCAGCCATGACAAAGAAATGAAGAAACAAGGAAAGGAGGAGTGTGCTGCTTTCCCTGTTGGAGGTGGAAAGGGAGCACTGGATCTCCCATGTCCCCTCCTCTGCCTCCATTCTGGTCTTGGTGAGGTCCCAACTGCTCCCTCCTTGGCCATCGGTTGCACGAAACAAGCCCTGAATGCCAACAGCTGGTCAAAGCTACTTGAGAAACTCAAGTCCAACTGGACCGTTGTTTTGCACAACTGAAGAACCAATATTTCCAACACCCCCCCCCCAAAAAAAAAAATAAAACATTTGTCAAAAATAATTCTCCTCAGTTCTATTTACAAGTCTTCCTACACTCCTCTCCTCTCATGTAGGCTTATCAAGGAAATATTTTTTCACTAATGGTCTAAAACCATGGAAGGAGCTGGGGGAAGGGATGCTTATGGATTTCTGTCTCACAGCACTTGCAGGCATGTTGTGGCTGACTGTCACTTTCCCTCAGGAGGAGAAGTGAGAAAAAATGAGCAGAACAGAACTGTGTTAAATAAGAGATAAATAGTGGTGAAAGTCTCTTGCAGCTCAGCATGTATGCAGATATTTGCAGCCAAAGTTAGAAAGTCTTGCTGCCTCCAGGAGTTTGCAATGCAAAAGCTGAAGCCCTTAAGAGTATATAGCAGAAACAGAAATCATGGTGGCAAAGAATGCATGAAAGTTGTAATTTTGGATTTTTTCCAAGGCCAGAGCTCATCCTATTAGCACAGATGTGGGCATGTGCTGCACGTGGTGATCACACCTGCTCGTTTATTGAGGAACCATTTCAGGCATATCAAAGGCGGTATGAGAGCAGAGGAGCAGGGTTGGGTGCTGTCACATTTATATCATCTATTGGTGCAACCTCCTGCAATTTAATGAAGCCCTGATGCACCAGAATTTGACAGAGGGGTCTCTGGATTTTGCCAGAGCTAGTCAATAGGGTGAACTTCAGCACCTGCTGGAGTGTTTCAGTGGAGTGAGGCCTCCCATTCCAGCAGACTGATGGAAACATCCCTACAGCAGAAGACGAGCAAGAGTTATAAAACTGTCAGGAAAAAAATGTCAGTGGAAGAAATATTTTAGGCTTGAAGAACACATACTTGAAACACTGCAGATACTGATTTATCTAAGAATATCTGAAGTCCTTTGCAGCATCTCATCATGCCAGAGAATAAGACCTGAAAGCCTGAAATCCAGTTTGTGATTGATATGGAACACTTCTTTACTTTGATTAAAACCCCACATTTTTCTATGTGATAGTGAGTAGCTCCTGAAAAGCCTACCTTCACTCAAATTTTCCCTCCCCTACTGCACAGGTGATCATGAGTAGCTCCTGAAAAGCCTACCTTCACTCAAATTTTCTTTCCCCTACTGCACAGTATGCAATACATTTTTAACACCCATGTATGCATATGTATGTGTATCTAGTGCGGGCACACCCAGAATTCACTCTGATGTAAAGATGACCTCTGGAAGACAACTTCTCCTCACTCTGCTTTCTCTTCAGCCAGGCCAAGGAGGGATGGCTCAGATTAGGAGCACAGCTACCTCCTGTCCCATGTGCTGCACATGGTTGCAGCTTCACAAATGACCAGATTTAGGGTGGGCTCCAGCAGGAAACATTTGGATGTAGGTAGGTGTCAAAGCACCTGCAACTCAAACAGGGTTGTTCACCTCCAAAAGAAAGAGACTAAGGGTGCCCTGTGAAGCTGTGGAGCTTTTCTCCACTCCCAGGAGGTTTACTGAACACTTCTCTGATGATGAGGTACCAGGTCAAAGAAATAGCAGGTCTGGGAGGTGGCTCAGGGAGCCCCTTAATACCCATCCTTCCCTAAGAAGGACCACCTGCCAGATCAGTGAGCTGCTGCGCATGCGCTGTAAGGAAAGCAATGTGTGCTGGACTCAAAGGCCAAATAACTATGGTGCTGGCACATTTACAGAGGGCAGATGTGGAGGTCAGTAGTTTCAAACAGCAGGTCCTAAAGAGAGGGGCTGAAAATGGCTGGCTTTTCACCTTGCTATGGCTTTCACCTGTCTAGGCTGTGCTTTGTAGGCAGGGTTGTAAATCTGCCCTGTGCATGATCTGTGCTGGAACTAACCCACTTTGTTGTTCTTCCCCTCCAACAGGAAAAGCATGCAGCATGGTTTGAGGTAGTGAGCTCGTGGGTGAAGCAGCAGGTGGTTGGAGCTACCATGAAGGCTAAGCTCCAGCTAAATCCTGCTCATCTCTGAGGTGGGCTGGATTTTAACACTGAAGACTTTGCTGTGTCCAATAAAGATTTTCATCGTGTTAGGCATCAGGAGAGGTGTATTGTTAACACCTCTGAAAAGAGTTTGTGTGTATGTGGAAAGCCAGAAGAGCAGTGCTGCAGGTAAGTGGAGTGATGCATGATACCCATAAGAACCCTCACCATAACAGCTCCTGCTGGGCTACCAATATGTATCTGCCCAGCAAACACCACAGACAGGACGCAGCGCTTGGCTGGGGTGCACGCAGAGGTGCTCCTGTGGCTTTCAGCTCTGAGGAGGGCAGGTGGGATGAGCAGAGAGGAAGGGGTTCCCCGGCTCGGTAGGGCTGGATGGCTTGGTGGGTCATCCCATAACATCCCACACACTGCACGACTGTAATGTTGTTGCTGTTCTTGCCCCTCGGACCAGCAGCCATTTCGTAGAGCACATGCCCAATTGCCAACAGTGATTACTGCCAAATTTGGAAGGGGGGGGCCTAGGCTCCAGAGGCTATGGATCACTATGCTTTTCTCTGTATTCAAGCCTATATGGTGTTAGAAGGAATTTATATCCTGTTTAGGATGTCATTTTTTTTTTTTCACTGCTTGATTTACAGAACCATGAAAAGGTGCACAGTAATCCTGAAGCTGGTGGGCACAGGTCTGGGCTCCCCTGTGCCCTTTTGCATCTTTTAAAACTAAAAAAACCTCCGGGGTTGCTGAAATGTCACAGGGAGTTTGTCCCTCAGCACATCCCCCGAGGCTGGCCCCCCAGCTCACTTCAGCAGTGTCCTGGAGCTGGAGTCAGCTCAGCTTCCCATTGCACATGGTGAAATTCAAGCACCCTGGAGAAACTGAGAGGTGCAAGGCCAGAGGGCCCCAGCCAAAGTCTCTGCATGGTGCTCTGTGTATGTGTGTGCATGTGTGTGCATGTGCATGGACGTAGTCATGTATGATCTGCCGAGGTATATCCAGAGAGGAGCCTTCAACCCCGGAGCGAGGGAGAACCCCGCGTGCAGGAGCTCCGGTTCCGAGCAGCGAGAGCCACCGAGGGAGCCTCGAGCCCTGGCCAGGCCCTGCCCGGGAGCCGCAGCCCCGCTGAGGCGAGCGGGGACTCACAGGGGGCGGGGCCAGGAGGGACGGCCCCGCCCTGAGCGGGGAAAACCCGCCCCGGGGAGCGCGGGAGCAGCGCGTGGCGCGGCGGTTGGCGCCGGCCGCGTTTAGCGGGCAGCGGGCGGGATGGGGAGCGCTCGCCTCAGGGCCGGGGCCCGCTCTGGGAGCTCTGCTCTGGCTGCCCCGGCGGTGGCAGCGTCGGCACCAGACAGAGCCGATGAGAGGGGAGGCTGCAGCGCGGAGCTCGGGGTGTAGAGAGTGCCTGCACTGGTCTGGTGAGGGGAGGGTGCTGGCTTGAGTGTGCTCTCACAGCCCAGAAAGCTAACTGTATCCTGGGCTGCATCAAAAGAAGTGTGACCAGCAGGTCGAAGGGGGTGATCCTGCCCTTTACTCTCATGAAACCTCACTGAAAGTAGTTTTGGTGTTGTCAACATAAGAAGGACGTGGAGCTGCTGGGGCAAGTTCAGAGGAGGGCCATCAGGATGATCAGGGGGCTCGAGCACCTCCTATGTGAAGACAGGAGGAGAAAGTTGGGGCTGTTCAGCCTGGAGAAGAGAAGGCTGCGTGGAGACCTCATAGCAGCCTTCCACTACCTGAAGGGGGCCTACAAGGATGCTGGGGAGGGACTCTTCATTAGGGACTGTAGTGATAGGACAAGGGGTAACGGGGTCAAAATTAAACAGGGGAAGTCTAGATATAAGGAAGAAGTTTTTTACTCTGAGTGTGGGTAAGGCACTGGAACAGGTTTGCCCAAGGAAGTTAATCCTTGTTAATGCTTAATCCTTGGCAGTGTTCAAGGCCAGGTTGGATAGAGTCTTGGGTGACATGGTTCAGTGTGTGCTGTCCCTGCCCACGGCAGGGGGGTTGGAACTAGATGATCTGAAGGTCCTTTCCAATCCTAATTATTCTGTAATTCTATTCTATGATATATGTGTGTTACAACCCAGCCAGCTCAGCCAGGAGCTGGGAGAGGATGGGGTAAGGAAAGCCGTATAGCACATTGAGAGCCTTTTAAGGAGAAGGATTTGGGCTCAGCTAATGATTTAACTTTGCAGCAGATCTGACATATCACAAAGCCACATTTCTCCATGTACTTTTTCACCCAGCTCAGCAAGTGGAAGTTTTAAGCTCTTGACTGCTCTTTCACATTGAACTGCTGTGGGGGCAGCACAGTTTTGCACAAACCCGTGCTAAGCAAGGCTGGAGGACCTGGCGCCCCTAGCTTGCTCTCCCTCAGGTGGCTGCAGTGCTGCCTTGGAGGGCAGTGGTGGCTAGCAGCCGCTTGGGAATCTGCTGTCTGCACCCTACCGCTTGGGAATCTGCTGTCTGCACCCTGGGTAGGAGTTGTCCCTGACCATGGACTGCAAGCTTAGGTGGGTGATCCTCTGAATGGAAGAGCACAAAACTGTCCCCTCTCCCTGCTGCCTCTCCCGAAGTTACTAGATGAATTACGGTGCAGCTTTGCTCAAGAAAAGTGTTCCTCTTTCTGGCACCTTCAGGAGGGCACTGGCCTCAGGGTGACCTGTGGTGCAGGTGAGTCCTTGGTACAGCTCAGGCACTAGCCCCAGTGTTGCTGCTGCTGTTGCCGCTGCACCATGCTGCTGCTCCCTCCTCAGGCATGCTGTTCCATGGGGTTACAGAAGCAGAAAATCTGAAGCATAACTTTAGCATTCAGCAAAGCAGGAGGAAGCAGTTCCCTTTCTAGAGGAAAAAAAGTCCCTTTTTCACAGCCGTTTCTCTTGAAAGGGACAATTATTTGCCTCTCAGGGTCTTGTTTAGAGTATATACAGCCTCCACCCTGGCCCCTGCCCCTTGACAGCGATTATCGCAGTGCTGTGCTGTTGTTTGGCTGAGGTAGGAGTATGCATATGCATTTGGGGAGGGGACTTCTGCTCTCGGATGCAAGCCAGAAGCTGCTAAACACGTTCTCTTTCTCCATGGTTGTCTCCAGCTGTAAGTGGTATACCTCAGTGCAGGCAGCACTCGCCTCTGAAGCCTGCCCGCTCTCCTCCTCTAGCCCTTCCTGCATGTCCGTCTTCCCATGCAATTGCTGCCCATATGCCTGGTGGCAGTGACCCCTCCTGCAGTGCGCCTGTCCTGGTTTTGCCTGTGACACCCCAGGACTGCAGCTGAAAGGGCAGCACGCTGCTTTGTGCCTGAGATCATTTGCTATAGGTGGCAGGCAAATGAGGAATCAAGGCTCCAGCTCTGACTGCCTGTGCTGCTCGCCCTGCCAGCTGCAAGCAGAGGGGTCTAAGCTACCCCAGTCCCCAGCCCTGAGCAAAGTCAAGTTCAGGGCACAGGCTACAAAAATGAACCTCAGGCAGATTGCCCAACTTCTTTAACACCACACCATATGTCTGGGGCAGAGCTAGGACTAAATCCAAATTTTCCAAATCCCATTTAATTGCTGTAGTCACAGCACAGTGATGAAGTGTCCTCAGTTTTCAAAATTATTAATGATTTCCAACACTGGATGTACAGAATCACAGAATGGCTTGGTTTGGAAGATCACTTAATTCCAATCCCCTCTGCCACGGGCAGAGACACCTTCCACTAGACCAAGTTGCTCAAAGCCATGTCTAACCTGGCCTTGACGACTTCCAGGAATGGAGCAGCCACAACTTCTCTGGGCAACCTGTTCCAGTGCCTCACCACCCTCACAGTAAAGAATTTCTTCTGAATATCTAATCTAAATCTATCCTCTTTCAGTTTAAAGTGATTCTTCCTTGTCCTATCCGTTGTTTGTGCGCATAGCCCCATGCTATCCCCATGCCTGAAGTCAGTGGATGCTACAGCTTCCCACAGGCCCTCCTTACCAGGGCTGAGCCCACTCCTCGTCCTTTACCAAGCAGATCACAGACTTGTCTCCTTCAGGCCCTTTTTCCCTCCCCAAACCACATGGGACCCCCTGGGGCTCCTTCTCTTCCCCTTGCTGGTATGGGGCCCGGGGTCCATGGGGCACAGACCTGGACCAGGTCGGGGGTGAGGCGCTTTGCCTGCAGCCACTTCTGGAAGCGTTGCGTGCTGCGCAGGGCACGCTCCAGGCTGCAGGTCTTTGTCTTCAGCAGTGAGGTGCAGATGCGCTTGTCGGCCCGGTCGTGCTGGTACTTGGAGGTCAGCCGGGTGATGTCAACCATCCGCCAGCTCTTGGCATCGTCAGTATAGTTGCCCGAGTAGCTGAGCAGGTAGCTGGGGGGCAGCTTTAAACGAGAAGAAAGCCAGGTGTCAAACCTGCCAAACCAAAACGAGAGCCCCACGGAGAGCAGGTTAAGAAGCCACACGGACAGCTGCACAGTGCCAGCACCACCCGCGGTTGTTCCACCGCACTCCAGACCCTTGGGGTTTCTGCCATTGCTCTACAAAGACCAAGTAGCCCCAGGCTGGCACCCCCAGACACCAGGATGAGGCAAGCAGACTGAAGCCATCAGCCAGGGAAATGCATTTTGGAGGAGATGTCTATCTTCCTTTGCTTCCCACCTAAACCATCCCTTGTCATGAACACTGCCATGGGGCAGGAGTTGAAACACTCAGATGGGGTCTTTTGGACCACACAGGGAGAGTGTGAGAGAGAGGAAAGGAGGGAAAGAATAGGGCTGCAGGGTTTTGATTCATGGAGAATCCCTGTCATTTTTAAATTTAATTAATCCTGGAGAAAGGGGCCCAGCAAAGGAGTGCTCAACACTTTAAGGGATCCTGCAGAACAAAACCTCATGACAATAAATGTATTTTGGAATATTAAAATAACCATTTGTCTTGAGGTGGTGGATTTGCTTGGTACTGGAGTCAACAGGGGCCCCCAACATTGCTGGCTGTATTTTCATAGCCAGGATGCGCGACCTCCCCAGGCAGCAGCAGAGTTTGGGGTGTGATGGGGTGGAACAAGGGGTAGCCATGGAGATCTTGCACTGATTTGCTTCCCCTACACAGGCACAGGAGGGGAGCATATGGGCTGGGTAATTAGGTAATTTTTTTTGTTTCAGCAGCCCCCTCAGACCTGCCCACACAGACGTCACACATGCAGGAGCTGAGGAGTGTGGTGTCTGTTTTTTAAGTATGTCTGTAACATGCTCTTGGAAAGCAGCTAAACTCTGACCTTTGGCTTGTCCAATGTCATGCATTCGTTGCCTCTAAAACCTCCTGCCCTTACCTCCTTGCCCAAGTACGTAAGAAAGCATGTCCTAATTTAATCTCACCATAAATTAAAGCCACTGGTTCAGAAGTGAAAGAGAAGAGGCAAGAAGTTCCTTGCAGGATCAACTAGCTAGAGTTAGATGAAGACATTAACCAATCTAATAGCTGAAGCTGATTTTTCCTTTTAACTTCCAGTTGGGAAATTGGCACAGAAGATTTTTTGGGGGGATTAATTTCCTCTGATTGCAGGCAAATAACTGACTCAGTCATGCTCAATGATCAGAGACTGACCAGCCTGCTCCCCATGACCCCTCCTGAAGGCAGCACTTCTCTCCTTTTCCCCATCAAAGACCCTGTGCAACTCAGCTCTGGGGCAAACCCGGGTGCCTAGGACAGGGGAAAGATGGTCTCCCCAAAATGCTACTTCAGCTTTTGGCTCTAGCCATGTGCCTCCCTCAGAAAATTTGCTGCAGAGATACAGGCTGACCAGAAGTGGCCCTTTGCATGAACAGGTTGAGGGGAGATTCAAGCATTTTGATCATTTGGCCATTTTGCCCAATATGAAATTTAAGCTTCTTTATTATTAGGGTGTCTGACATAAAAATAAACCTTGTTTGTTTTGTTTGGGGTTGTTTTTTTTGGTAGGTTGGTTGTGGTGTTTTGTGGTTTTTTGTTTATTTGTTTGTTTTGGGGGTTTTGTGGGTTTTATTTTATTTTTGTTTGTTTTGGTTTTTGGTCCGGTTTTGAGCTGGGACCCAAGAGCAGAGAATAATTGCTATTCCTCACTATGATTTGTTGTGCATCCCCGCCCTTCCCAATGCCTAATCTGCAGGCATAGTACACGCACGTACAGCAAGAGATGGCTATGGGCTGGGTTTCTCCTTTTCTCCTTTTTTCTTTTTTCTTCTTTTCTTTTTTCTCCTTTTTTCTTTTTCCTTTTGCTTTTTCTTGTTAAGCACAAATGTGCTTGTGATTTGGCTCAAGCGTGTGTGTTTGGGGGAGCTCAAGTCAGGCAAATACCAAGAAAACATTGCCTCCTGCATGCGAGCAGCACATGGATGTGTGAAATCCAGGACTGAGCGTTAATTTAAGCTTGGGTGGAGTGATTTCCTCCACAGAGCTCCCCGGGGGAGAGCCACGCAGGCCTGGGAACCCAGCATGGGCTGCAGCAATTCTGTATTTGGCATCATTTCTGGGGAGTGCAGCACTGGCCTGGCACACTTGCTAGATACTTTGAAGATTCATCATCAAGTTGTGCTGTAACAATAATTCACTTTTGTATGAAGCCTTTTAGCTAAGGGCTCAAATGTGCTTTAAGACTTTCACTAAGATCTGTGTGAGTAACTACACGACAGATTACAGATTTTATATCAACTCAGAACTAAACATTGAAGAAAATCAAATTTGTTTTTCGTTTTTAGTGGATGATACAAAGTATTTTCTTTCAGCCAAATAAATTTTGTTTGCACTGGGAGTCAAATATCTTTAAAAAAAAAAGTAAGTTAAGTTTTAAAATTAAAATAAATGCCATATAAACCTCCATCAAGTTGAAGCATTCGAGCTTTTTCAGACTTCCTTCCCATTAATTTTGGCCAAAGCTCATCACCAGTGCTGGCACAACTCTGCACATAGTTTTGGTCAGCTCAGTTTCACAGTGTTTTGAAAATCTAATATTTTACAAAAACTTTTTCTGCGCTCTGCTCTCTGGACAGTTGATAGGCAAGCTTTGGTATTCGCATTTACAGATGGATAAAGTTGGGCAAAGATAAGGGAAGTAAAGAACATTAGAGCACAAGATGAGTCACCAGCCGTTCTGGGAACAAAACCCACATCTTCTTACTTGTTAGTTGAGTGAGAATGTATGTCACAGCTCCCGGAAATGATGGAGAATTAATGAAGCATGTTCTAATGAGGATTAACACAGAGAAGGCAAAGTGCCATCCACCTTAGCGAACATGTGAAAAGGTACATGGGGGTGGATCAAAGAGCGTAAGTGCCACTGAAATTTCCCCCATTTAACCTTCCACTTGCCAAAAAATCCTAGCTGTTCAAGAAATCAAGGGGAAAACAAGTGTAACCTCTCCAAAGAAAAGTCTGAAGGTGACTGACTGCTAAAGAGAAGTTTTTAATTTTCCCTTTTCAAAGTGCTCAGAGCAGAACTGTATGTTATCACTTGTGTGTTGCGCTGCTTGTGGGAAGCTGACTATGGGATGGCAGGAGACAAAAAACCCCTCTATTTTACAATGCCGCTCTGCTTTTCCTGAGGCAGAAGCGTCATGGTCTCACATGTATGTGGCTCTGCGCTCCTGGACTCCCTTCGGCCCTCTGCACACAGCACCCCTTTCCTGCTGTCCACCAGAGGAAAGCCAGCATGGGGGTCTCCTGCTTTTACTTACGTAGCCCCTCTCTCCCAGGCCCCAGTGCAGCATGCAGCTGGCCACCAGCCAGCCAGAGGCAGTTGCTTGCTGCAGAAGGCTACTGCTATTTTCAGCAGGGCTGAGTGAAGCTGCATGGCCCCAGCCTTCCCAGTGGCTAAGCACAAGTAACTGACATGGTGCTCCTGCAACAGGCTGCATGCATAGAAGCTGCTTCGTACCCAGCGCCAAGTCCCTAAAAACCCTGCAGAGGTGAGTGGCAAAGGTTGGGGCATGGAGCAAGGGCCAGCTCCCATGTCACCCTGCTGTGGAGCATAAAATGTGGGACAGCCCATATCCCAAATACATCCCCAGCCCCTGCAGTCCCACACCAGCCCATGTCAGCCAGCTGAACATGCTGATTGTAAATCCATCCTGCTTTTTGGAACAGGAGCCCAGGCTGGGCTGGGAGAAACCCAGCACTGCTGGCTTGGCCCTTCTTAGTTCCTCTGCATGCCCTGGTGTCACCTTCAGCATGAGCTGGGCGAGTCAGAAACCCAAGAGGGCAAAGTGCCAAGGGCTGGGACCCCTGGTGTGCCATGGCAAGGGGTGTTCTGGCATAGCAAAGTAACGTGCTGCCTTTTTGCAGCGTCAGTAAGGGAAGGACGGATGTTCAGTATTACAAGTCCATTCCAGACAAAACATTATGGTTTTAGTATGCTACATTTTAGAGGAGAGTTTAAGATAAAAATGGTGATTTGTCCAATATTATACTACTTACATTATAGCATTAAAAATACAATTTTGCTACAATCATTTCTTCTCCCTCAGGCTTTTACATCTATAAAAGAAAATGCATATGACTCTATAAATCATATCAGACCCAATAAAACCTTCCTCTGCCAAGCACTGCCTTTAACTTTCTCCTCAAATACACTGGCAACATTTTCCCTGCTGTCGTCAGATACACTCTGCTTTTGAGCCTAAAACTGATTGGATTGGTCTCATGACTGCTTGGCAGCATATGTCTCATCAGCTTTGAGGCAGATGCAATTTCTGCCTCTACCTTAAAGTTCTTATGGAAACCTCCCAGAAGAGTACTAATAATTTAGCCCCATCTATTTTTGAGCATGTAGGTAACCTGATGTGCAAACGTGCTCATGCTTCAGGCAGGTTTAGATCACTTTTGATCTTAATACACACATGAAATTCTGCACATTTGTGTTGTTGCACCTGGTACAAAATTATGTAGCATGTTTATATGTTTGTAGTTAACATAGTCCATTGGGTGTGTACAAAGCTAAATCCCCTTTGCCTTTACTCAGTTATTCATAATGAAATATTTCCAGTACATCTAAACAAGATTATTTGTTTCTCCCCTTCCTTCATCACTTCCTTGAACTGTTTCAGTGCTTCTCTCTATGCAGAAAGTTGTGCCTTTTACTCTTGCTTTCAGATTATAATTCAGGGCTGATCATGTTAGTATGGCTTTAAAAGAAAAGAGACAAAGCAGCAGTTTATAGACATTAATTAAAATACCAGGTGCTGTAATAGTAAGCGGGTGCTAAGTTACTGCTTGCATTGTACTTCATTAAAGTACTTGGCAATGCTAACAGGCAACTTTCAAGTTATTATACAGAATGTTTTAAAAATTACTGTGCTGAGTTTCTGACCTTATTTCTTCTTTAAAGAATTTCTTGCAAATGGATGTTCCAATGCAGGCGTTGCATTTATCAAGTCCCAGGAAAGTCCGGCCAAAGCTGTAGCTGGGTTTGACGTGGGGTGCAGACGGAGAAGCTATTGCTGCTGTGGAAGGGTTACAGCTCAGAGCCAAAACCAGGAGCATCATCAATGAATCTGCAACTCTGGAGCAAATGTAACATATCCAGCGCCCCATCTACAGTAGCAGAGAGCTCTGCCTTTTGTAAGTTACCCCTCTCTATGCTTTTGATCTCTTTCTGATGACCTCAACCTTCAGCGGTGAGCCCCAAAACACAGCAAGACACGTTGGGTAGGAGAGACCTTGCTCCAGTTCCCATCCTGCCAGCTGGTCACTGGCTCTATTGGCTTGAGGTTTGGGTGGGAAAGATATGATGTAGGGTGGGGAGAAGGAAGTACATGGAGGATGCAGATAACTTGAGTTGCCATGGTTACCTTTCCTTTACTTGGTGCAGCTGCTTCGGCCCCTGCTGACCCTCCCATCAGCCGACTTGGAAAACAACACGAAGAAGTGCTCATCTGCACTTTGTGCAGACAAATGGAGGATATCCTGTCGCTGGAGCAAAGGGCATATGCAGGACACTTAGTAAAAACTGATTTGGAAGGAATAGTAGTATGACAGAAGCACACATTTTACCAGAAGCCAGACCCTTACTGTTGCTTTATTCCTGGAGATTTGCGATGGGGTGCCGCTTGACTTCTTGGATGCTTTGTTAGCTCAGTTTCGCCTTCTCACAAAAGTGCTGAAAAGACTGTCAGGTGGAATTGTTGCCATTTTGTTGCTTGAAAATAGCATTTAGAAGAGGTTGCACCACACTGTGTCATGCCATGGAAAGCAGGATAGCCTGAAGCTTTCCAAAACATCCAGCTGACATAACTGCTTGGCCTCTAAGCCACTCGTGAAATATGGGGCTTTTCAGCAAGACTTGCATGCTTTTGAATACCTTTTGCTGATGGTCTTGGTACTGGAAAGAAGCTAGAGGTGGGGACAGGGGCTAATGCGGGAGCTTGCCAGAGGTTACAAATGCACTTAGAAACTACTGCAGTCATACCCAAAAGCTGTTCTCATTAGGCCAAAGACTTGAAAGTTATGGAAACTGCTGACTACCTCTTCTGGCCTGGGTGCTGGGGAGAGGACCTTGCCTCTCCCAGGCTGGAGTGGCTGTGGTACCTGCCATGCATGGGCCCTGGCAGGCTGCTGCTCAAGGCCGGAAAAGCAGGCCTTGAAGCTGTCCCTTGCTACCCCAGGCGGTGCAGCACATAGCATGCTACTGTGATGCACCAGGCTTTGCTCCTTTCCTGACCCCAGCTGTCATGTTTTGATTGACACAGGAGGCTCTCCTGGGCTGTATCTCACCATGGGAGTAGTGAGGAAGAAGCTGAGGTCTTGGAGACTTCTCATCCCCCCAGCTGGACTACTTACACCACATGGGCAAGCCACTTCCTACGAGCACATTTTTTAAAGGAAAAAAGATGCACTATACCCATTCTTTATTATCCCTTCCAGCATTTAACCACAGCCTGATGGGACTAAGGGACGTGCGAGCCGCAGGGGTGCACGCTGGGCTCTGCAATCGCCCCTTGCTTTCTGAAGGGGCTGCTGAAGGAAGGTGATCCTAACAGCACAAAGCAGCTCTTTCAAGCACAGATGCTCATTAGTTGTGACACTTAGGAGATCTGAGGTCTCTCCTTGACTCCATGCCCTTGTGGGAGGTTGCTTCATCTCTGGGTGCATCTCTATGCGCAAAATGGAGATAGTGACATTTAGGGATTGTCTACAGGGTGCAGCACAGAGAGGATAACAAACCTGCTGAGAGAGAAAGGGGATGTAATGAACCCTGCCAGTGCTGCAAACAAGCAGGGATGGGCAGTGCTGGTATGCCAGCAAGTGCATTCAGTGCATAGCTCTGCATTACGCCATATTCACATTTGGACTTATACTCCAGTATGAAGTTACTTGAAACAGGCTGGTGGAAAGAGCCATACTGGAGCTAAATGCCAGTATTTAACCACTTCCCACATCCAGAAGTTTATCCCCACCATTTTCTGTTGCCAGCACATTTCTCCTTTCTCCTCTGCAGAAATCAGCACTTCCTACTGTTTCCTGCCAGTAGCTCTGCAGCACTGGCCAGTTCACATTGCTCCCTGCCCAGCTATTCCCTGGATAGTACCAAAATTAAATGCCAGCAATCTGTCTTTATCTTCATTACATAATATATAAAACACATATCCTTCAGTTTCCTTAATAATTTAATTGCCTGTCTTTAGTCTTCAGTTTTCTGCTGTAATTTTAAGAGCAGAGACCCAGACTACTGTCTCACAGTGCCTCAGTTTGTACTGCTTCCTGGTGACCCATGGAAAGTGGAGGGCTTCAGCCTCTACAGTTGGTAACCAGGCCTTTCCCACAGCAAACCTTGTGCTTTGGCATGAAAAACCACTGGATGGATAGCAGGATTTCTGTTCTGTTAATGATGCCTTAATGGCTGTGTTGTTCTTACTCTTCTGTGTAGTTTATGCACATGCAAAGCAGTATTCATCTCCCCCTAGGAACAGCATTTGTAATTGTGTTTTTTGATGGTGTATCACACCTGCATCACCTTGAAGTGTTAGGAAAGCAATTTTGTGTTGAAAGAGTGGGAGCTAGTCCATCATACCCACCTCAAGCTTGCTGCTGGCATTTGCGCTTGCCCCCAGGGTCTGAGCCCTCTCGTTCCGTCAAGCATTCTTTCTCAGGCTGGGCTGTCCTCGAGTACAGGTGATGTGTGTAGGAACCTCTCAGTCATGTTCACGGCACTGAAAACAGCTTAAAGATGAGTACACATACCTCTGAGCTAGCCTAAAATGGTAGCTGGGAAACCATGGCTTGCTGTATGTTGCAAGGGGAGCTATGCTTCTGAAAGCAGCCTCCATTTAATGAGGTGGTTCAGGAACTAATATCAAACCTGTACTTGTTTTCCTTTCCTTCTGGTAACTTGACATGTAAGTATTGTGGTCAGGTGGTGAGTGGCAAGGTCTGCAGTAGCCTTGTAGATCTTCTGCTTGTGCCAAGCAGGAGAAGCAGGTCTCATTTTCAGGGCACTGATAGCAGTGGAATCTGCTGGTGATGCTGAGAGGTTGGCCCTAATCATAGAATCATAGAACGGTTAGGGTTGGAAAGGACCTTAAGATAATCTAGTTCCTATCCCCCTGCCATGGGCAGGGACACCTCATACTAAACCATGTCCAAGGCCCTGCCCAACCTGGCCTTGAACACCACCAGGGATGGAGCATTCACAGGTTCCTTGGGCAACCCATTCCAGTGCCTCACCACCCTTATAGTAAAGAACTTCTTCCTTATATGCAATCTAAACTTCCCCTGTTTAAGTTTTAACCCATTACTCCTTGTCCTATCACTACAGTCCCTAATGACCTTCACAAACCTTTCAACAAGACATTTCCACACAATACCACTAACTACACAAGACCATGGAGATGGTGGCCCTAAAAGAGAAGCCTAGGTAGTTTTCTAGACATTATAATTTCTAAAGATTTCTAACAAGGACCAAAATGCATGTAGTACCCTATCAGTCAGACCAAGCACAGAAAAGCTTTTGGATTGGTTTCTGTTAACAGAGGTAAAAGGGCTTATTTAGCCTCTCTGCCCCATCCCTGCTTTCTCCATATGCCATGAGGGGTGTGGAAACCCACACAGCAGCACAGTCCCACTCTTAGCCACAACGGTGGAGCAGTGGAGCTCTCCAGGTCCCAAAAATACCCAGTCTCTTCAGATTCCAATGGCTATAGGTTTTCAAGGGGTAGAGCTGTGGTTCCCAACTCCTCATTGAGGCAGGAGAGGACCTGCCCTCCGTATTGCTAGCTCCGGAGGAGATAAGGGGAGGACAGGATGGTTTTCCCAATTATGCATGGGATGAAATGCACCTTTTACTTAACCTACATTCCAGTCTTCACCTGACCCACTGATGCAATCCAGCTGTTCTTCACTGCTTCTCTCCACCCAGGTCCCTTTCCCACCTCCCCCTGAGCAAATCCAGCTGCCCCCAGGGGTGGTTTTCATGCTGCCAGAGCCTTACAGCTGCCCTCTCCCCCTCTCATCAGAGCTGCTGGCTAGCTCACCCCAAGCAAAATGTGGTGCATTCTGGCTCTAACTGGGACACTGGGAACTGCTTTGCTGAGCAGGAAACCTTTTTAATTAATTAGTTAATTAATTAAATTTGGGTAATCACTAAATGCTTCAGAACAGGTCAGATGCAGAGGAACTGGAGGTGTGGTGTTGCTGCTACTACTCAGCTGACGTTGCCAGGGTCCTGGCTGCTGCTGACCTGGTTCTCATAGGGACCTTGCCACTTGGGCAACCTAAATGGCAGGTTTTGGGTGTCACATCACCTCATTTTTCTCTTCATGCCAGGTTTACTGCTGCAAAAGAGCCTTTTCAGCAAGTACAGGGTTGCTGAGCAACAGAGTATTGCCTGGTGGGTTGTGGGAGGGCTGCATCTCACTGCCACACACAGGAAAGAAACAATACAGAGGAAAAATCAAACTTTTGTTGGAAGAGGAGAGTCTCCTGCTCTTCCTGAGGTCCTTGGTTGGCCCTGCCCGGGTCTTGGTGCCTACAGGGACCATATAAGACCTTGGCTGCCACACAGAGCGGCTTTGCAGGACAGGGTGGAGGTCAGCTCAGGGTGTGGTGCAACATGATTATTCTTAATAGTGCTTTTCATTATTCACAGCCAAGATAATTATTAAACTATTGCCAAGTAACCAGTACAGACTTGATATTGAACTTCTTATCACTTCAACCTCAGTTCAGGCTGGATGTGTGGATTAATAGCTAGAGTGGCTTAAAACATTTTCAATTCTTTCAAAATAAAAAATGTATCTTTTTGAATGCTACAAAACTCTTAACATTTGGGAGGATGCAATCACTTCCTTTTTAATGTGTTTCCCTCCTGATTGCGTGCTTATGAAAGAAACATCTGTTTTGAAGTGATATGCAACTGAAAATTTTTGTTCCAGTTAGATTAGTAATGGACAACTTCTGTTATACACTCTTATTCTCCCCACCCTGTTTCTTTCCCCTTTTCTCTTGCTGAAAGATGAAAGAGAGGAGAAAAAAGCAAGCAAACAAGCCCCACTGCCCAGACTACAAATACAGACAGAAAAAGGGGCCACTGAGGTGTGGGTGGTGTGAAACACCACAGCTGAGCTGGTTGAGCATGTCTGCACTTCAATTCACTATCTGAAATGGATTTTTCGACATTTTGAACCAATTAAAATGTTAAAACAGGAATAAAAAATTGATTTTGTTTGTTTGTTTGTTTGTTTCACCAGGAAACAATTCTATTGTTTGATAAGCCTGGATGTAATTAATCAGAAGCATCAATAATCTACTCTATTAGTAATACAAGAAAATAAGTATTGTTCTGTA